ATAGAGGTAACTCTAAGACCACTGGGTCCCGAAGAAAATCATTATTATTTTTGGCTCACTCAGTACCAAAACAACGGTCCCAAGCAGTCCCAAGCTATTTCACTAACCCCTGCATGTTCTGCATGAATCCACACACCCCTGATGTTATCTGTCAAACTTTCATAGCGAATCAAAACAAACATAGTGTAGTAATAGAATTTCAACTAGAATAGGGTACGTTAATCGTTTGCTTGGGACCAATAGGCTACTAAAGTGGTGAGCCAATTTAAAATCGTTAGTTTCGTATTGATTGTTGGTAATACCACAAACGAAGTGACAGACGGAGCGGCTCGAAAACTTTGGTGACTAACCTGCTATTGCAATTTTTCAGTGTACCACATGGCAACACCACTACTACTGGATTGTACCACATGGCAACACTACTATTGGATTGAACTAGCATTTTCACCAAATGTACTAGAATATTTTGGTTCTATCTCTTTCACTCTACTCAAAACTGAAATGCATAAAAAAATGACAAAATGATACGCACTCTTTGCACACTGTCAAAGAATCATTGTACACAAAATCAACTTTGTTCAAATCAAAACAAAAAAACTAACCCATCTGGTGGATGATGGCACAAGCTTCCAAGAAAATTCTATTACAGTGAACCACATTATTTAAATGGATTTCTTCGCCAGTAAGTCGTCTGTCACTTCGTTTGTGGTAATACGGAAGAGGTGGGCGTTTAACGAACAGTGATTGGACATGAGCCTGGACATTACACGAATAAAATCACGACTCATATCCAACCCTTTGAACCAGGGTTTGATCGACACCTGTGGGACAATAGAATGTAGCCATCTTCCCAGATCACCATCATTCCACTTTTGTTGCCAGTTGGTGAGGACTTGCTGACGAGAAATCGTGAAAAATTCGTGGTAGGCGATTTGTCGCTCGTAAATATCGCCTTCCATAGCGCCCACCTTGGCCAGCGAGTCCGCTTTCTCATTGCCCGGGATAGAGCAATGAGAAGGGGCCCATACCAAGGTGATGAAATGCGAGCTGTTTGATAAAGCACTCAATGACGATCGTATTTCCTGGAGGAAATACGCCGAGTGCTTCATCGGCCTCATTGAACGCATAGCCTCCAGGGAGCTTAGGCTATCCGTAAAAATGAAATAATGGTCAGGTGGAAGTGAGTGAGTACGATATAGCTGCTAGTTCAGCAACGTATACCGAACACGGCTTTTGAAGCTTGTATGAGGCGCTATGAAGATCGTGGAATACTCCAAAACAAGTGGACGCATTTATCACCGACCCATCTATGAAAAATCTCTTCTCGGTGGGGACGTCGCGGTATTTGTTCGCAAAAATAGTTGGGACAATCAGGGAACGGTGAGGCTCTGGAATTCCTTGAATCTCCTGCCTCATTGTGAGATCGAATCTCACGTAAGAACAACGGAAATGATGGGCGACAGCGCGATTGGGGTTGAACGAGGAGGGGCCGATGTTCAGAGTCATGTACTCGTAGTACAAGTTCATGAATTGTGTTTGAGGATTCCGCTTTAGCAGCTTCTCAAAGTTTTCGATCACCAGCGGGTTCATGGCTTCACTGCGGATGAGGAACCGGAACGATAAATCCGCAAAACGATTTGTTAAGGGGAGGACGCCCACAAGAACTTCAAGACTCAAGGTATGCGTCGATTGCATACAACCTAGCGCGATTCGAATGCAACGATATTGAATCCTTTGGATCTTCAATATGTGCGTCCCCCCCCCCCCCCCCCGCCGATTGAAAGCAAAAGCTACCGTACTCCAAACTCGAGAGAAGTGTGGTCTTGTACAGTCTTATCAGATATTTATTCCGGATGGGCTCCCCATGAAGTGCCGGTAATGGAACGAAGGAAATTGATTCGCTGTTGGCATCCCTGCCTCAGCTACGCTATGTGTTTTCCCCAAGTGCACTTGGAATCGAGCCAGACACCTAAATACTTAAACGACATGCAGTGAGTGATTGTTCTACCCATAAGTTGAAGCTGAAACTGAAAAGCTGTTTTCTCCGGAGAGAATTCGATACCCAGATTCATTGCCCAAGTAGACAAATTATCCAAGGTATCTTGCAATGGTCCTTGCAGGTCCGGTGCTATTGGTCCAACCACGGAAACCACGCCGTCATCTGCAAGCTGCCTTAGCGTGCAATTTTCGGCCAGACAATCATCAATGTCTTTTACATACAAATTGTACAAGAGGGGACTTAAACATGAGCCTTGTGGAAGAACCATGTAGCTGACTCGTGCAATTTCAGAGGTCATTCGTTTCTCGGACAACAAATTAAACAGGAAATTGTTGATAATCGGAGAAAGCCTTATGTCTTGTTGGTAGTGGCAAAACTTGGTTTTGTCCATCGAGGATGATCTTGAAACAAGTAAAAAATGAATTAGTTAGTCTGCATCTATGTGATTCCTAATCTTCTATTCGTTGTTCCCTAGATTTAAGTGGTTAAGACTAGGGTTCTGATGCATGGTCATAATCGGTGTCATTCCTGAATTGTGTTGCTAAGGCATCCAAATTTGACTGACAAAGGGGTGCGCCTTTGGAGGGTTTTTCAATACTCCGAAGGGTATAAAAAGCGGGACCATTCAATTAGAGTCGGATCCTTGCGATAAATGCAAGAATGACAACTGTAAAAGAAATCGAATATTTGATCATTTCTCAGTAGTGATGGAGTAATACGACTTGCACTAAACTAAGGACACGGGATATAATACAATAGATCAAATTACTGGTCGCAGTGGTGTTAGGTCCCGAACAGAGGAAAAAAATAAAGCCTCATTTCTTATTATCCCGGCCGTGTAGAAACTTCACATCTTCGCGATAGTTATTCATTTGAGTAAAAAACGTTAGATAGAGGGTAATTCAAAAAATTGCTCACTACAGTCAAAAAGTCCACTACAGTGGTAATGACGTTTTGATATCTGTAAAATTGCATGATTTCTTTAAGTACATCATCATTTTGTAATTGCGGATCTTAAAACTAGGTGTTGCATGACCAGTTTTGGCTTTGCTTTGATTCACCAATTTAGGATTTTCGAACCGATGTTTTTTGAATAGGGTAAACGGTCATGTTCCTATTTTTCCCACGTTTTGACGATGTTTCACGTTGTTTACAATTTTGAGATGTTCAGTTGCGTTCAGCTTGTTGGTACAAATCACATTCATCGGTGTACATAAACATGTTGACCACAAAATACACGAATATTGTAATTTAATCGGTTTTCTGAAGTGTGGCCAAAATAGGAACCTAGGGCCAAAATACTGGTGTACTTCTCTTATGCGATTTCCTAGGTGTCCGACTTTCTATTAGTTTTAAACACAAGGTAAACAGAAAGAGATCAGTTCTACAGCCATCGAGTTCAATGATATGAGTAATTCGTACCCCTCAAAAATATGCGAATATTAAGAATAACAATTAAGAATAACAATAAGTGCAAGTAGAATGAACGGAACACGAAATCTCAAAAGGGAGAATCAGAAAATAGCATCAGACAGAGAAAGTTGATTAAATGTAAAATAAACTCATTCGTACACGGTAAGAAAAAAGTTCCCAACGGCCAGTTGACTTTTACCTACTTTTGACTAGTTTGTCTAATTTTCTCCTTCTATGTTGTCAAAAACGGAGGACCAAAACCACCCCACAGGGATAGTAAAGTGTGGGAGCCCATCGTTAAGCATTATCATATTCACATACTTTTGGGTACAATTAACTTACTTTTGAGTAGAAAGCTAATGGAAAATGCCATACGAATTCCACACATGTAAATGAAAACTACTTTGACCCCCTTCCCTCTACCAACTTTTTGGTTCCTGCACCATAGTGCCAAGATGAGTGAAAAGAACTTACATTGGGTTCTTTTTTCTTAGCATATACGTTGGATTGGAGCTAGCTGCAAAACACATCACGTTCGATCAAACTGACTGACTACACGGAAAACAAAACATAGGTTTTGAACATTTTTCAAGATTACTAAGGCTGTGTTCTAAAGGTGAATTAAATTAAACTTAAATTTGACCGCTGTAAACTTTTCAAATAAACCTGCTATTCCAGCAGACTTATTTCTGCACGACCATGAATCAATCTTAACAAACACCTTCTCAAAAATCGGACGATCAACAACAGAGGGATTTCCGAACACTATAATTTATTTTCGAAGTGTAAAGTTTAAGTGAAAATTCATCAAATGGAACACAGCCTTACATCTGTGATTCTCGTTAGTAAAAGTGAAAAATCGGTAGTTTCGAACCTTTGTTCTGTGAATCGGTAGGCATCACAAAAATTGGATTCAACTTTCAGAGGAAACTAGTAGAACCTAATGAGTTTGAAGATACTTGCAACAAAAGAAGGAAGGATCTTCCAGGACAGGTTGGATGAAATGTCTAGGAGATGTTGGGAGAAACTTTCATGCCAAGTTTGACGAATTCTATCCGGTCACCAGATAAACATATTTTCTGATTGCTGGGAATTCCCGAGAAGAGCCACCAGCTGCTTCCGATTCCCGGGTATCCAAAAATGGCCCGGAAATGGAAATACTCTGCAGACCATAGACTTTCTCAGATTTTAATAAGGGAAATATTATTATTGCCGAAGCCGAGCAATACCTTAAGCTGTTATCGTCAAGTGGTAAAAAAAGTCTTAGAGCACTCACATTTGGCCAATAGATGCTCTGAAACATCCACATGCCAAAGTTGAGCTTTCAAGGACATTTTTTACCCCCATGACGGTAATAGGTTAAGGTATTGCCGAAGCCGTCATTTAGCCTAATTGTTTGTTATGGGCATTCATTCACATTTTTGCAAAAAAGTGCCATTTTGGATATGGTGATTTTTTTTTAAAATGACGTTTTAATTATGTAAAACCAGTTTCATATTTTTATAATTAATTCCCCTAATGGAATTGTTTGATGGCAATTGAAATTTCCCAAAAAATAAAAAATAAAAAACAGACACTCTTAACTCACATCAGTTCCAACCGCACAAAGCACAACAAATATCAAAACTTTGCTCATAGCCACTTGTCACTTGGCCGTGTGTTCCGTTCTCTGTTCTCCGATGAATACTAAATCACTGTCGGATGGCTTATTTAGACATACTAAGCGCATCCATCAGGGGGCCATATCATTTATAACAGGGAAATGGAAATTTCATCTTGATTGCTTACGACACCTAACCGGAAGCCAATGGGACACATTATACGGCGGTGTGGCTCATGTGTTCGCTATCGGTCTCAACCGGTGATAAGATCCATTTGGCAGAATTTTACCTTTCCGTTGCATGTCCGGAGCCAATAGCTTTTGTGTGTGTTCGAACAAGTGCAGTGCTACAATTACGCAACTTCATTGGACGCTGATTGGTTTGTTGATAATTCAACAATCAAAGGTTTTACATCTTTTTTTTTATATTAATGTTAGAAATTCCCATTGGAATGTTGTGGTAAATGCTGAAACTAACTGCCTCAGATTGTTTTCTGTTCACACATTAATAAGGCTCTCTACCGAATGTCAAGATTCCTGACTTCCAAGGGGCAACCCGGTGCAGCGTCATCACTATAATATCTTGAAGCTTGAAGCTTAACTGAATCATCTCCGCAAACTAATCATTGTAATTGCCACCAATTTAACTGAAATATAGGGTGGTCTAAATATACTTTAGATGATAATTTTGACGGAACAATAAACACACTTGTAAAGTTTTGATTATCTAAGGATTTTCGATTAAAACGACCACTTTATATTTCATTCATATATTGATGGGCCACACTTCTGAACATCCTTTAATTTCAAGACGTTATGGGTGACAAGATCAATTGCAGATCATTGAATAAATTATTCCTTCTCAGTCAATCAACAAAGGCTTTCATCTGTGTATGAATCCAAGATTTTATGCACCTTTGTGTTCATTTTCCGCATCGCTGGCCCATTGAGCGATGACAATAATTGAAAGGTTGTTGACAAACTGCTGAACTCCACTCTGCCATTTATCGGCTATGCAATCTCGACACCCATTGAGGTGTAATGAAAATATAACATGCATCTCGTAAACTGCACTGCGCATATCGAGACCCGGAGATGACGGCAATGAACCTGAGGTTTGTTTTTTTAATGCTTCCGTGGGGGTTGCACGGAATAAGTGGATCCCAAAGCAGTAGTCATCAAAGCTGCGCTTCGTGGGCTATATGTGAATGCGATCCTCCAGATTGATAGCTGCACCCTGTAGATCAGTGTAAATAACTGAACTGTGAATAATGTGGATGATCTTTGACTTAAAGCGAAGACATCATATCAAAAGACTGGCAACTTTGCCAGAATTCAAGCGACAGACACAAACCTTTCCTCTGAGGTAGTAATCTTTGATATCAAATTCGTTCAAAGCATTTACATTTGAGTGACATGATGTGATTGTGCCTGCCTTATAGCGGTCGCTTGAGAAATGAAAGAGTTGCCAGTCTTCTTGATATGTTGTCTTCACTTATGTTCGTCCTTTAAGATGATGCCTCACATAGACTAGTCAGTAAAGGCACGGTTGAACCAAGCTGGAGGTTGCGGGTTCGATTCCCGGTCCGGTCGAGGAAATCATTCGGATTGGAAATTTTCTCCACTTCTCTGGGCATAGAGTATCATTATGCTACCACTATGCAAATTCCTACATTGGTTGGCAAGGAAGCTCTCAATTAATAACAGTGGAATTGCATCTAGAACACTAAGCCAGCAAAATGCTCGCTACAGAAGCTGCAGGACTGGTAGCAATCTATGCTGCCAAAAATAATGATTTTAGTGACTATGTTGAAGAAATAAGTGACAAAATAGTGACTTATAGTAGTAAACAGGCTTGCAATTGCTCATTTCAGCTAAAATGCTAGTTTTCGTAATTATGAAACTTTGGGATACTATAATTTTTATTTGTAAGAAGCAAGAAGAGGTGGTAAAGTTTGTGTATGACACATATAATTTGTCAATTTTGCTTTCAGAAGGTCACAACTAGCGATTTTATGATCGCTGATTGCTCGCTCATCGCGTTGCTCATCGTTACAGCTAATCGCTATTGTGACCATCTGAAAGCTAAATTGACAGGTTTTATGTGTCATACACACACTTTACCTTCTTTTTTTGCATCTTGTAAATAAGAATTATCATTGAAATATCTCATAGCTTCATAAATCCGAAAAATACCATTTTAGCTGTAATGAGCATTTGCGAGCTTGGTAGTAAAACAAAGTGATTTAAAAGTTACCTAAGTTACACACTAAATAAATGTTTGATCATTAAGAACCATTCAATAAGTTTCTCAGAGATTACCTAGCCCGTGGCTAAAATCTCCTTAACAAAGATTAAAAAAAAAATCAATCAGTATATTATAAACACCAATATGAACTATTAGAGCAAAAGATCAATAGAAAGTTTATGACAAACCCACGGTATTAGTCAGGGTGTCTACTACCTGAAAAAATAGGAAACCCGGTAATCCTAGGAAATTTTATTTTTCATGCAAATACAGGGAAGCCTCAGAGAATATTCAAAAACAAATAACATTTTTGTTCTAGAATATGCATATCTCCCTCAAATTTTAAATTTGAACAAGATGGACTAAACAACTGTAATACTCCAAGAAAATTTCAAAAATCTGGAGTAAAATTCCTAAACGGTTATAAAGGCTCATGGAATTTTACTATAATTTCTACGGACCTCATACTGGGACTTCTGGGAATCATTGAAAAAAGCATCAAGTGCAATCTGCTTTCAAGGTATTTCTGATAAATTTAGATTCCATTTGAAGCCTGAGATAGTTTTGGGTAGAATTTCAAGAAAACCCTGATTTGAATTTAAAGTAATTTTTAAGGAAAATCAAAGGAACTTCTGGGGAGCAGATCTCCTGAAAACTTCGGAAGAAAATTCCAGCGCATTCTGAAGATAATTTCAAGAAATTTGTGGTATCGAATCCGGAGAATAAGCCATTGATTTTTTTTAGAGATTACTTAGGGAGTGAGGTGGATGCTTACAAGAGATCTCCATAGGAATTCGGAAAATAATTCCAGGAGAGTTTTCTAACTAAATTATTAGGAGAAATCTAAGAAATTTGTGAGGAGAAATGCAAATGGAGACTTTCAATAAGAGTAGAATTCCACAGGATCCAAAGGTGAGGTTCAAAAAGAAATCTTAAATGAGTTCAATGAACATTCTGAGAATTCTCCAAACCGTTTCTTACTCAGGAGGATTTTAAGGTAACTCCGAGGAAAATTCAATTAAAATTTAATTCGGAGTATAGTTCGTACGAAATGGTGAGGAATATTGCAATGGAATTGCGAAAAACATTGAAAGCATATTCTGGTGATATTTTTTAGAGAATTCAGAGAAGGGTTCCAAGTGAATTTCTTCCTTGATGTTCCGGGAGAATGCAAAGCGAATGCTAAGAAGATCTTCAAATGAATTTTCAGACAAATCTTCGTTGAATATGGAATGGACTATAATGTGGTCCTCAGAACCACTTGAAAGTTCCTTAAATTGTGCTGAAGCTAATTAACCTACCTAACGATCATGGATTTTTTTTTCCTTGATTTGTTTTCCGTCGATCTTGTTTTCCGTCGATCTTGTTTTCCGTGCTGAGCACCAATGCTACCGACGCCAGGGAGGCAGCTCCCACACCTGGACCCTACTTATCGACCCATCAACTCATGTCATGAATCGGAGACCAACGGCTTTACTTCCCCCGTAATCAGAGATGTTATGCCTCAGAACATCCCGGCGGTGCCGACTGGGATAGAACCCAGGCCTGCTGGGGTGAGAGGTTATCACGCTTACCACTACACCACCAGCACCGCTATCATGGATCTTCTCTAAGGTTTTTACAATTCGCTGTATTTCTCGAAACTTCTATAAAATTTATATACTTTCTCTAATGTTAACAGAACTGCGCTGATGTTCTCTGTTCTTTCCTGACCAGTTTTGTAAGCGTTTACGGTAGTCGACACATTTTGTGTGATAATTGACTGCCTTTGCCTTCGACACTTGCAAAACAAGCTATCATAGTATAGTACTAAACTAAAATGTCATATGACAGGCTCTGCCATACGACACTGTCGCGGAAGATTGTCACGAATATATGTATTTTAGTTTTTCTCATAATAAGAAATGCTGCTGTTGTGCTTGAGTGAATTCTGAAAAAAGCAAGTAATGATGTTCTAGTACTATCATTTCTAATTAGAAATGGTTTAATTTACACCAAATTGAGGAATTAGTCGAAATCACACATGTCATATGATAGTTATTTGATAATTTTCTTTTTGCTCGAATGTTATTCGTATTACGCGTATCAGTCAAAAGATAAGCAATTATAACGGAATTTAAAGGAAGTAAACCAACCCACTCAAAACTCTTCATAAAGGGATTCCGTTAAGAGGTTCGACAAATTTAAAGGGTTATTCTACCGTTTGTGTTGTGTGAGAGAGACGACGGTAGAGCATAAGTGTACGAATACTAACAGACTGTCATGCACGACAACGAGGCGAGTGTAGTAAAAAGCATTTACGGCTTCAACACCTGTTCCTGACGTTCTCGAAACTTCTCTAATTTTTTTGCAGTTCTCATGAAGCTTGTTGTGCTGCCCTGAATTTGATTGAACTGTCCTAAAAATGTGAGCTTCTGAACTTATGTTCAGACCTCAATACATCTCTGAAATTCCATGTCCCACTAATTTTCTGAAATTAATGGAGCGGAACTCCCCCTGAAATTCCCCTATTTTCAATGAAAGTTCCTGAAGTTATCGGATCATCCCATTACTAACGGAGTGTAGCATTTTGATGTCTTTTGGAATGTTTCTATCTGTGTCCGTTTTATATATTGAACAGTCTTTGAAAATGAGTACCATTAAACTAATAATGTAATTGAATTGGGTTGTTAAAACAGCAAAAAAGTGGTTTTCTTCCATTTAATTCCACTTAAATAATGTTTGTATCCATATCCGTATGTCGACAACAATTAGTGTCTTCATTGCTTTCAAAAAGAAAAAGACGTATCAAAATCTAAGTACTGATCCCCTAGGTAAATATGTCAAGATCACAGGTGTAAAATTGAAACAAATTCTATAAACATTAAAAATCCACCACTTGAACAAACCTGAGCTTACGATTTAAGTTTAGATTGGATTACACATGAAGTAATTATCCCTGTCGTTATAGCTTGCATGAGTTGATTTAAATAACAATGTAACCAGAATTACAGGCTGTAAAGCTCGTGTTAATTATTCAACCATTGCAAAATTCATACATTCCTAGCAGTCTATTCACAGATCATCAACCTATAATGATTGCTTGCTACGGATGAGATGTTATCT